TTTGGTCACCTATATGCATCCAAGCTTTTCTTATAGTGTTTTTGTTTTCTTAAACAGATATGGCGATTAACAAATTGCAGCATTTTTGCTAGCAATTGAATTTTGATTATCTTATTTGCAGAATATATGCAGAGTGGTCGAGCTACAGAAAAAACTGATGTGTACAGCTTTGGTGTCCTGGTGCTTGAAGTTTTGAGTGGAAAACGACCAACTGATTCATCATTTATAGAGAAAGGTTTAAATATAGTTGGATGGGTATGGTTCTGTCATCAGTCATAATTAAAATTCTTTTAGTTATGATCCATATGCCCTGGCTATAAAGTCACAGGTTTTGGTCTGCTTGAATTGCCCGCTTGCTTAATCTTTCTTGATTTCAGAATTATATTTTCTTCAATAGATATTTTTGAAAAATGAACTTGTATTCCAGATTGATCATTTTCTACTGGAATTGATTGCAGGAAAATGTATGTGATGCTGTTTATTGATTATTGTGCATGCATCAGGTGTTATTATGATCTTGTTCTGTTACTTTTGGGTGGCTGTTTCAATTGCTGATTTTCTTAATGCAATACCCAGATTTCAGATTAAGGAGATTGCTGTTTCAATCTCCTCTCTCTTCTCTCTCTCTCTCTCTCTCTCTGTGCCATTACCCCTGCATCCACCTCCTCTTTCAGTGCATGTTGCCTCTTGGTATGTGTCCTCCATCTCCTCTTCCTCTGCCGCCTCTTCTCTCTCTGGTTTAGAGATACACCTAACATCAATCCATATCAATACTGTAGCGGTCCCGCTATCAACTGGACTGAGTTTTGAAATCTTGGTTCAACCTACTACGTAATCTGGACATTTTCTGCATAATTTGTCTCAAACAATACATGTTTCTAAGTTCATAATCTCTTAGATGTTATGCTATTAATGTAAGGTAATTTCCTTCTTTGGATAAAATATAGCCAAGTTTTTAGAACAATTTTCCAGGTCAAAAATACAACTTGTTTTAATGCTTCTTGGCGGCCTTTTGCTATCTCATGGATGCATGTCCATTCTGGGTATTGCATGGAGATAATTGTGTTTCTGCAGTGGCTTTGTTGAACTGGAACTTGTCCTCAGATTGGAGTTATTTCTTTGCCATCCCAGTTAAGCCTTTTGGTTGATGGCCAAAGATAAACTAGCTGCACATGAACAGACAAAACCCTGCATTTGTTCAGCACAGCCAAACAGGGGGCCTCTTTCTGCTTCGCTTGTGTGGCTGTTTATTCTCAGCTTGTGTTTGGTAGGAGCTTTAAAGCCATTGTTTAGGCTTTGGCTTGGACTGAGTTCTAGCAGCTTGAGTCCAGCTCGCCCACAGAGAAGGAGAAATGATTCTGCCCTTGGCAAGATATAGGATCAGGATTGCAGATCACAAATCCACTGCTTTTTTTTTTTGCTTTCTTCAATTCCCTCCACAACCAAAGGTGAGATCACAAATCCACTTTTTTTTTTTTTTTTCATTCCCTCCATCACAACTGAAGGTTAAGGTTTTGGGGAAATAGGTAATGTGCTCAGATCATATTAGATAAGAGAGGGAGGAGGAGGAGGAGGAGAAAACAGAAAAGCAGAAAAACTCCAATGAATCAGTGAGCCAAGCCTGAGTGAATCAAGCCTTGGCTCATTAAGTCATCAAATGGAACTGGGCTGTTCAAGATTGGTTGGTTTGCTTTGGGAAAAAGCTGAGTTTGAGCTGAGCATTGGATCAAGCATGAGCTATTCATGAGTCTAGGATTTCTTGAAACATTAGAGACCTAGTGAGGGCTAGTTGTCATATCTACAAAAACCCAATTAATTTGGTCTAGGATTTCTTACTGCATATGGTTGGTTTAATTAATGCCATAATGACTTTCTTCATGATTTCTTGTTGTTGCAACTAAAAATTCATTAATTAGTTTCCTGTACAAATCTTAAAGAGCATGTGAGTTATTGTCATATTTGTATAAAACATAATCAGGTTTTTCTGTGATTTCTTATGGCAAATAGTTGAATTAATTAATGCCATTACAATTTTTTACATGATTTCTTGTCGTGCAACCAAAAAATTCATTAACTAGTTTCCTGTAAAAATTTTAGAGAGCATGCGAGTTAAAGAAACTCATGAATCTTTCTTCTACTGCAGTAGTCACAAGTTATACTTCACGAAAAAAATGATTTTACTATCTTTGATCCATGCACAGGCATAATGTGGGTTGGAAGTAGTGAAACTTGTGTCTTATTTGTAAACCTATGTTAGGAAAATAAACATCAAATGGGTTTCATCAGTTTTATTGCCAATTCCCGGGTAGGAAATTGTCTTGAACATCATCAGTTTTATTGTCAATTCTCGGATAGGAAATGGCTTGAACATCATTCTCGTTTTCCTGTTCCAGCTGAATTTCCTGAAGGTGGAGAACCGTCAAAGAGAAATCATTGACCCCTTGTGTGAGGGGGTGCAGATCGGAAGCCTAGATGCTTTACTTTCAGTTGCTATCCAATGTGTGTCATCGTCTCCTGAGGATAGGCCCACGATGCATAGAGTGGTGAAACTGTTGGAGTCGGAGGTGATGACACCATGCCCAAGTGATTTCTACGACTCGAACTCTGATTGAGCTGCATTGTCTGTGCTGTTCATTAACTCGTGTTCATGTGAAAATCAATCCGAGGCACTTCAGTCATTAATGCATTTTCATAACATGTTCATTCTTTTGTGGTGTATGTAAAATGATTGTCCATCCCTTTTTTCTCTTTTTCAGCAATGATTCCTGTTCTTGTCAGAAAAGGATTTGTCGGCAAACATCTGTATCTTAATAATTCAGGTGGAACATATGTGTAATAGGAAATATGACTAGTTCATTTGTGAATGCAGTTTGTCACCGTGGTTTGTCACCAATGGTAGATTTAACCTTCTAAAGGTGTCAGCTACACATACTATTATCATCAAGTAGTCTCTAATCTCTCTTGTTATCGTGCAATGTGTACAAGGGATGAATAGAGATTTTACTTCATAAAGATTTAGTGAGTATATTATTATTATTATTATTATTATTATTTATTTTTTGAATATATTTCTGGGCTTGGGATGAACAGTGGCAGTGAAGAATGGTTGAGCAGTGTACAGTAGTGACCTTCTATCAGCAGCATTGTTTTCTTGCTTCTTTCTGGTTGATGTGGTTTTCCATGATATTATGCTGTTGTCACAAATGTAAGAGAGATTCCATCTCTAGCAATGAATGGAAATGTTGATGATTGCATTTTACAACATGTGTAGACCAGGAATTATATTATGCTGATGTAGACAAATCATTCCTTGTGTACTTGCTTTAGAGGTCATGATGCTTATGAATTCCCATTCAAAACCAATCGACTAGCAAAGCATCTCAAATAGATCACTTCCTCTCATGGATAATGTCAACAGAAGAAATAATAAAGGAAACTGCATTCTTAGTCCATTTGATCTCAATTCTTTAGCTCACATCTCCTTGGCATCTTTCCACCGTGAACATATCATTCGAATCATTCTTTAGATTTCAAGTACTCAGAAAAAGAAATTTTCTTTCACCTGTTGTCATACTTTGGTGCATCACTATGAGGTAAGGCTGGCATGGGCTCATGCAACTTATTATCTGCTACATTTTAGCAACATGGCATGCTGCACAATCATGAAGGGCTAAAAGCCTAAGAAAGAGTTCGCATTAAGTTGGGTTGGGAAGGACAAGATTCAATTATGGTCCCAATTCATATGATGGGAGCCAAACATAGTGTTCTCAAGTACTTGGTTGGGCAAAGCATCCTAGGCTTGATAGGGCTTATTATGAGCTCAATAGTTGAAGATATAGCTCAAGGACATGATTAACTTTCCATATCATCAAATGTTCATCATAGTATCATACTAATCAGAAGAACCATGGAGTTACAGCAAGAAGCTATTAAACAAGATCCCATGACCTAATCTTAATATGCATGTTTGATCAGTATTATGATCCAAGCATTTTCAAGTCGAATGTGATTAGCTACAAAAAAAGGCATTGTTGTAGGAAAGTAATTTTCTAGTAGCTACTCCAATAAGCACTGTTGTCCTTCCATCACCTAATAAAGCAATAGGCACAGATAACCACAGCAGCACATACACATTTTCTATGATGCCAAATGACACTGCATTTGGTTGGACAATGATGACTTCCATAAGTTCAAGTAGTACTCTTCAAAACACTAAGAGACAGGTTATATATACTTCACTTTACCCAACATACTCGTACAAAAAATGTGCCAACCGATGCAAAGGTAACACTCATTCTTGCAACTCAAGATGTATCAGCCACAGTTGGAAATGAGCTTTGCTTGAAAATGAGATGATCAAGAAACTCATGACCAAGGACCATCTTTATAATAAACAAATCATTGGCATCTTCTCTGGAGATGTTCGGGTGTCAGGCTCGAGAGCTCCACAACACCATGCATCACACCTTTTCCTTTTGCTTTCACATATTTTAGGTGGCTAAGGTAATGAAGGTAGTGGCTCCCAACAAAGTGTTTAGACATGAATAAGGACTGGTGGCTGCATAGTCTGACCATTTTAATACAGATAGTTCATATCCAGAAGGGTCCCATTTGATTCCATCCTTCTCTTAAGTACACAAGCATGGATGGTGGTAATGATCCATCCCATCTCTAATCCCATTTTGTTTATGTGCTCCCTTTATCTAGGCAAGGGTCATAGCTAATAGCTTTCCTGATGCACTAATTATGCTGGTCATGTGGAAAACCTTGTTCTTTCAAAGATGCATGAACACCTCATTAACTATAGGAAACATCGGGTTCCCTGTAGACCCACTTCATTCTGTTGTATATTGTATATAGAACTCATAAACCAATACAGATCCTCCTGGAGTTGTCGGCTTCCTGAATTGGATGGACTTAGAGATGAAAGCCACAGGGCCTGAAGCATCCCTTGATCTGCTTTCTCATGCCTGGTGCAACTCTGCTATCCAAGTTTTTAAGCCAACTGTAGATGAATGCTCAAGCATGTTCAAGGATAAACAGATTGTGGCACTGGAGAATGACAAGAGAGCTCCTTCGTCGGTGAGTTGATCTCTGTGCCCTACTTTTCTTCCCTGTTGAAGAAGACAAGCAGTGTTGGTTGTTTTGACATAGCAATGAATATAAGCACCGATCACTCAGCTGCAGAAGGGTGAAAGAAGCTTCAAAGTGGATGAAGGTGATTTCAAGTCAACTCCACAGATAAAACTTGATGATCTTAAGGTAAGAAAGACATACTGGTTAATCTTTGGGAGTAGAATCTATTGCACCGATCAGATTTATTTTGATCTTGGAAGTAAAACCAATTCCACTGATCAGAGTTTCCTTCTTCCTTAGTCATGGATATGGCTGCAGAAAGCAATACATCCAGAACTGGATTATGACATGTGCACAAGGCAGAAATGGGTATGGAGTTTAAATTCTAGTTCGGAGTTGAAATTTACCTGCTTAATTGCTTGTGCCAATGACATCCCATCTTCTACATCGAACAAATATATCCTCCTTGCCAACCTTGCATTCCCTATCTTTTGGACTAGTAGTATATTGTTTCTGCCTGCATTTTATTACATCAGAGATATTTACTAAGGAGAAAAAGAGGGGTGAACAAAATAAGCCTTTTTATTTTTAGTGGCTCTAAACATTAATACTTACCTGAACAAATAATTCAAATGGGTTTGTTACCTTGGAATTCAATGAAATATGCTTAACATGATTAGGATAAAAAAGTGAACATATCGTAATTTATTGTGTTCTTTCCATTTCATTCTGATTTCTCCATGTTATAAGCATTGCAAATCTATATCTTGCTCACCACTTGTTTACGAAACTAAGTAGGTTTTCTAACCTAATTACAGCTATACTTTTATTGAATCAATTCTGTAGTTGTCCTCTTCAAGTTTGTGGACATTCTTTGTTCTCATAAATCAATACTACCATTGCTCCTTCCTTTTATCTACAGTCATGAAGATTCAGTGTAGTGTCAAGCAAACCAGTTTGGATTCACATGTTTCACATTTATATTTTCATCAGACATATCCCTCACCTTTGCCCAAGCTACACAATTCCTATAAATTTCTTGAGACTTGTCATGCTATATTCCATCTTTATCTTTCATCATTTAACTTTTGGACTAAACCTGAGCAACATACCTAATCTGGATCACTTTATTGCTAACCTCCAATCTTGAACATGTCTACCATCATTTGAAGCACAGACCATTGAGTACATTCGAGAGTTACTCTTCGACGACACTGCCAGGTTATCTGCTTCACTTAATACTCATATTTTTACCTTTCAAATTTAAAAGAATATTACCAACAAACAATAACTGCAATAAGTAAGGAATTTATTTTGATGTATATATTTTAGAAAACTAAATGTCAGAGAACATTCTTATAAAAAAGTCCAATCAAATGTGTAGTTCTCAAAAAATATGAAAACACTTGAAGAATGGATGCCTGATGTACAGTTCTCCACATGCAAAACAAATTCAATATCTGGAATTACTACATAACAGTGATAGAAAAGAACTTCTTTGCAGTTTAGAAAAATCGCATCTTGGAATGGGATCTCAATTAAGAAATGGTTAAAGGAAATGAAGCAGAAGCGCAAGGAAGAGAAGCGCTTGCATAAAGCCGAAGTGCATGCAGCCATTTCAGTTGCAGGAGTTGCAGCAGCTCTTGCAGCCATTGCAGCAGAAGACACAGAAGCCAACAAACAGAAGTCACTGAAGGAGAGTGCAGTTGCCTCTGCAGCTGCTTTAGTTGCAGCACAATGTGCCCAAGTTGCAGAAGCTGTGGGCGCAAAGCGTGAACAGCTCTCCTCGGCTATTAATGAAGCTGTAACTGTGACCGATGCAAGTAACATCATCACTCTAACTGCTGCTGCAGCAACATGTAATCTCATTCTCAATTCCCCTATCCCTATAATCCACACAGAGACTCACTCATTGAAGTATCATTAACTATTTTCTCCAGCTTCTTATAGATGATCTGAGGTCCAACAATCTCCTAGCAAATTTCTGTTTCCAAATGTTAGCTTATGAACCTTAAGGTGATGCCATATCATGTTGCAAAAGTAATAACAGTCTTCTCTTTTTTGTGTCAGCATTGAGAGGTGTAGCCACACTAAGGGGAAGACAAAGTCACACAAAAAAGATAAAGGGTAGCTCACCAACACTTCTTTGTGATGAACTTGACTTCAACTTTGAGAGGTGCAGAGCATTACTTGCAAAGGGTGATGAGATCCTTGTTGCAACATCAGATGGTAAATAACATTTCACAGTACTAGTTATATTTTATATGTGCTTCATTTAATTTTCTATTGGACTTCTCTAAGAAACTTATCTAGATTCTCACCAATAGCTCTTTCACATACAATTTTAGATCATATCCTAGGTGTCCAGTAGATCTACTTTAACGATGTTATGTTTAATGCTGTCAAATACTGAAGATCCTAGTACCAATATCAGAAGCAAGCTATTTCTTTTTAATGACACCCATCTTGTTATTTCTCCTGTTTTGAAGCAGGTAAATGCAGGTTAAGATCAGTCTCAGCTATCTTGAACAAGGATGACAAAGTTATCTTAAAAATCAAAAAGATAAATATGCTAATGGCCCTCACCACTGCAACAGAATGTAAGTTGAATATTTCGGTATCAGATATTCCTTCCTCATTGTACCAAATAAATTTCATCTAGTCCTATATTAAACAGGTATTATAAATGAGTTGCACACAAACCCTCTTGGAGAACCTACCCAGGATGCAAATGGAGCCTATTGCATTGAGATGACGACAAGTCAAGGGAAGATTGATCTCAAGATCAATGACTATGTGTGCTACAAGAAATGGATTACAACCATTAATCATATGCTGATGCTATCAATAACATTCAGCAGAAAAGGACATGTGCCCCTTCCATAATCTGAAATTTCTGACTACATTTCCATGTTCATAGCCACTGATTGGACAAGAATCAACAATACATCGAAATTCATGTGTGTGTGTGTATCTTTCTAATAAGATCTGAGTATATAAAAGGATCATGAATTCTCTTCTTTTTTACTTCCCCTTGATCTTGCACTATATAACCATACCATGTTGCTCATCTCAGAATGGCAGATAAAACATATTTCTGTTGAAATAAAAGTGCCGAGCAGCTTACTGGAAAATGGAACTACAGTTGACTGCAACCTTCCAAGTTTTCAAGTGAGTATGCATAAAGAGCCCTGATCATGTATCAGGTCAAAGCACTTGGAGCAAGCTAGAGCGACAAGATACTTGCTATCTGAGAGCTTCTTCCTGCGAGAACCATGGGGTGTTTAGTTATTAGGTGGCGAGGTAAGATTTACTAGAGCTGGCACGACTCTGAGGACATGGGTGCTTTCCTCTATCTCCATCTAATTTCTTCACTCTTCATCTAGAGAGTAATGAAACTTATATTCAATCAGAGCTCTACTTGTAGTCCTTCAGAGTCAGATATAACTACCTCAACATAAACTACAACTGTGAAAGGGAAAAAAGTTGTCTTTCAAACATCCAAGATTGGTTTCTTAGCATAAAAGCAATTTAGGGCTCTCTCCATAACCTCATACCTTGTCTTCCCTTCATGCTCCATAAGTACAACTATTGCCATGTCCCAAACAAACCTGCCTCGATCATTATAACTGGAGAAAATTACCTAAAGCAACACAACCATTTCCCCACCCAATTTCTCCAGCAGCAGCCTCAGATCAAGAAGATGCTTTCTCAAACAACTATAAAATGCCAAGAATATTTGAATCCCAATACTTATGATGGAAGGTTTTCGAATCAAGCTACCATCTTTGCAATGTTTCCTCTTCTACGCCTGATATTTTAGCAAGTCGAGAAATCCTAAGTGCATAACTTCCGGAAAATAAGAAGAACAAAGGAATCGACGCCTTCGTGGCTCACCTCGGTGTGCTGGTGCTCGACTTGCCGTAAACTCCACTTCCGGCTTCTCGCTCAAGGGGGAAGAATACGGCGCTTCACCTCCAGATGGAACGTATATGTTCTCCAGAATCCATCGCTCCTCTGCCAAAGGATCGAGTGGTGGAGGACGTCGGCTGATGGGAGGAGAACGGCGGGCGGCGGCGCTACCTGCCGCGTTCTCTCCGTTCGCTCTTGTTTTCGCATATCTATCCTTCCACAGTTCAAATATTTTATATGCACCCTCGCAAATTTTAAGACAAATGTCTCAGAGTTAAGAAAATAGCATATCAGACGCTATTAATTTTAATATAACAATTGTACCCTCCACATGTCATTCCGGGATAGCATCGTATTCATAAACCTTTATATTAGTTAAGACTTTAGCATTATATCTCATAAGATCCGAAGCCCGAATCCATTCTTCACTATTTATCTTTTATAATAATAATAATAATAATAATAATTTTGGCATAGAAATATTGAATAAAAATATTTTTTATAATATTTTTTTTATTAAAAAAAATATATTTTTAATATTTGATTAATACTAAAATAGTATATTTTGTATATATTCTCAATTTTGAATGAAAAGATAAACATATCCAATTTCAGTGCAGATTAGAGAATTAATATCAATTTGTCTCGACATAATAGGAGAATACAAATTCGGCCGTTAAACATGTGCGACCTAAAATACAAAATTGTCTCAAGCGATTCAAAATTTATAACACGATTCAAAAATTTTCCATTTCTAATATGAGATTAAACTATGGATGTTGCACAATTTATAACAACTAGCTTTCATGCAGCTGAGAATGCCATTCAACTCAAATGTAAAATCATCAAAAAGACTGATGTGTTGATTCAGAGTAATCATGCATGCAATTTACTTACTAAGATGCACATTTGGTACGAGAATATAGCAGGAAAATTTTGGATGATTGCATTTGAATTTGGTAGGTGGATGGATAGAAACAACTTGGGACTCCAAACAACCAGACTTGTTTCGATTACAATAGGAGCTGGAAAATGAAACAAGACAAACCATCCTTACAATCAAGGATATACAGCATGACAAAAGCACATGATTCTTCATTTTACAGAACCATGACACGTACAGATGAACCCACAAGTTCATCAGCACTGGGTGCAGAGAGCATCAGAAATGTGTCGAGAAATTTAGCTGCCGTCAGAAGTGTCGACGATGGGGCTGAAGGCAAAAAGACATGATCTGGTGCTGCTCTCCCGCTGAGAAGCCGATCGTCTCAAACTGGACCCGGACCTGCAGCATCTTATTAGGCATGGGCTTGTCTCAGGAACTCCCATGCAGAGCATGGAGTGGAGCTTCATGGAGGGAAACCTTTGACAGCTCAATGACCTGAAAGAAGAGGAACCCAGAGGTGGCACCCGTGTGCAATGGAAGTCAGGCTTGCAGAGCTGAGTAGCCATGGAAGCGGTAGAATCTGATCCATCCACAGCTGGACACGTAGCACACAGAGATAAGGATAAGCTTGTTCGCGGCAGCTCCCTGATCGGGCTCATCCCAGGAATCTTGAAAAATGAGACAATAGCGTGCCGGCAAAGGGGGCATGGTATTGATCCTGGTGGACCTGGCACGACAGTGGACGTGCTATTGGTGGAACACAGGTAAAGGGCACATCTGGTGCAGAACTCATGATTACATCCTGCGATACGGTAGTAGTCCTATAATCAGTATGCATAGATAGAAAACCAGTTAAACAGGCACAAATTCTACTCGATATTTTTTGGTGTTTCTAACTTGAGTCTGACCTCTTAGCGCTGCTTTAGCAATAATATATCGGTTTCCAACCTTACCATTTTGCAGCCATTAATAGTTGAGAGGGCCAGGTTTTGTTGGTGAACTGATGCAATCTTGCTAGTAGTAGCCAAGTATGACTTTCAAGTTTAATGTCAACTGGCTCACTGTTTAGAGTATTATCAAGCAGCAGTTACAAATGCATGTATATACGAACTACAGTTACAAACGGATTGATTCTAAAAAAGTCACCTATAAGGAGAAAAATATGATGAAGAAAGTAGTTCTATTTAATATTCTTTTCGGTTTTCAGATAAACGGTTGAGAGGATGCCCAGAATGCAGTTGATCTGCAATTAACATGCAAAACAAATTTACTGGGTACAGACTGCATAAATTCATGCAAAGATAAATAATAATCATAAACAAAAAGAAACACTTCAGGCTTGAAACAAAGAGGGCATAAGTAATGGGATACAGTAAAAGCCCCAAATTTTGTGAAAATCCTGTATACAAACTTCTTTTTTGGCTATTTGAAATTGCCTGCTAGCCGCTGACTGTAAGTACTAATCCATGTAATCGGAAGTTTTAGGAGAGTTGTACCTTCAGCAGCTACCGTGCATCTCCTTTCCAAGCAAACAACACATGGATCGATGCATGCAGGTGACTGATTTGTGCCCCTCCAACCAACTTCTCTGTGGCAGAAAAACAGGCAATTATGAAGGTATGGAACATGAGAAAGATAAAAGCAGAGCCACTAAAATAATGTTGAGTACAGTTAAACATTAGCAAATAACAAAAATACAATAGACTTACCTAGCAATCCTTATGATGCTCATGAGGGGAAGAGATAAGTATGGGGAAGGAAGAATCTTTATACGACCATCAGGTCGTTTACTTAGAATGCCCTCAATCCAATTTCGATGCCATGAACGGGCTACCATTAAAGGAGTCCAGCTGTGAACAAAAAATGAATATATGAAATTATGCATGCATTTCTTTCTGACAAAAGGATGATATGAAGCAACATTAAATATATGTAAAATGAGACAGATAGAAAATTGGGGGCAGAGGACACAGAATATTTAGACAAAGCCAGCAAGCATCGGCTCATATCATCCACAAAAAATGGCTACATTAACATTCAAAGTTCCCTGTTTGGTTACACTAGAAGAATCCACAAATTTGCCTTTCAGCCAGGATTTAACTGAAGCACATATATTCAAACTGGTGTCAATTGTCAACACAAGAGATCTTGAAATGAAAACTTTCCATTTTAACTTGCGCTAGTAATTTATCAGCTAACTAAAAATAGTAATCGAGTTGATATAGCATCTAACTAGTCCTACAGATGTAGCACTGTTTGAGGCTAAATAATATAAATATCCTATACAGGTTTAACTTGTCAGGAACATACCCATTTGTATTTTCAGCAGTCAAGCTAGCTCCTCTGGCAATAAGAACCTGAATGCCCATATGCCATGAGTAAGCAAAGTAGTTAGCATACCAGAGGAAGAAACCAAATAGACACGAAATTATCTTACTTGACAACACACAGCATTTCCACCACAAGCAGCATAATGAAGTGGTGTGCTTCCAGCACCTGCCAAATGATATTTAATAAAAATGTTGGACCAAAATGTATGTTGCTTTTATCCAACCGGTTCCTGCAGCATCTATTATATCTAGATTTAAAGTAAGAATCAAGATTTGCCTTTTCCAAACGAAAGATGTTCCTAATATTTAGATCAGGTTGAAGAATATGGTGATCCAAGTAGGTAAGCGGAGGAATAGGCCGACAAAGAATTGCATAGCAGGAAAATTCTGAACTATGTTTCCTATTCGTATTTGGAAGCAATGAATTTAAAATTTAGGAAATAAATTCTAACACAATGCTGATAGTGCTGGAATTGATGCTAAATTTGTCATAACATTGCACTGGTAAGAAAACTGCACAGTAGCACACTGCACTCTGCTCAAAACAAGAGACTTCCACTCGATGATACCAAGTTAACACTGTCTCCTAGGTAGATAAGGACAATGTCAAGCCTATCTAGTCCTGACACTTAAAATGGGTTCAGGCCATAACAATTAGGTCCCTCAAATAAGACCCAAAAAGATGTGGGGGCGGATCAATTCCCTTTTTTATTTAGTTATGGACACAAGGCCTAAACTTATGTACAAGATCCAATAGAAGGTCACTATAGACTATTATTGGATATAAGATCTATTTAATTCTGTCAAAGCCCACAAAGCTTCGAAGGCTGCAAACATACATAGAACATCAGTAACAGTAGAATTAAGACTGGACATCTCTTGATCCCCACAAAGTAAAGCCCAAAAGTCCCAATAAAACTATTTGTTGCTTGGACAAATAGACTAACTTCAGTATAGCAATGATCATTGAGAATATCAAAGTTCCTAAAAAGCTCAAGCATTAACTAGCCATGGACATAAGCTTATATTCAACATGAATGTTCACTAAATACAAAACATATGCGATACAGTAGAATTATACCTAAGATAACAAGTTTAAGAAAACAATGGCCACACAAATACAGATAATTCCAAGATATATATATATATATATATATATATATATATATATATATATATATATATATATATATATAGTTGGTGAAAAGCAATGACAACCTAATATACAAAGGTATAACTATAAAATATAATTGATAATGTTTGAAGTTCTCGACAGTAATCCAAGGACAAAGGTTGTAACTCTAACAGGAAAGCAGATAGCAAAACTAGTGAGGAAACAGGAGAAGCAAACCTATCAGGTCAATTGTTGACCCATCTTCCACTGTGACCTCAAAAACAGAAGCACCCAAATCCAATAGTAAGTGCACTGACTCTGCATGCCCATTTAGTGCTGACATATGAAGGGCCGTGATTCCTCCATCTGCCTTTTGGTTAACGAACTTAGACAAGGCACTGCCACATACCAGAGGGAAGTCACAATCTCCTCAGGACGAAGTAGAGAATATCCATAAGGATAAAGATGTACCTCTTGTCAAAGTCAGGAGTAGAAGACTCTCGGGTTGATTTTCCCCTCATCATATTCCAAAAGTTTGGTGCACTAGGAATATAGTCGGCAAGGAGAAGACGGATGCAACGTGTGTGGCCATTTAGAGATGCAAAGTGGAGAGCTGTTCCACCATTGAGATAATCTGTTCTGTGAATCTATGATACAATTTACAAATATTACAGGAAAATTATTATGAGATTACAGTGGAACATAAATTGGCAAGAACAATGAAAGAGAAGAATGGAAGAAATAAGCAACTGACATTAGCTTTGAAGAGAATTAGAGTCTGAACAACCTCCCAATGACCATATTGACAAGCTTGCATCAGTGCAGTCTGCAACAAAATAAAATTGCTGATACTAAGCTTCTTCCGAAGCAAATATGAATATTAACCTCGAAAACCAACTAATGCAAACACAGGAAACCTTGAACATCCACTTCCTGAGCCGAAAAAATGGAGTACTAGATCGTGAAAAGAGAAAGGCAGCATGATATGATTTCTAACCAAGCGATGGTAGAACAAGAACAATCAAGAGGAATAAGGATCTTGGTTCTACCTGTCCTCGTATATTCCTTAGATTAATGTCAACTCCAGATTCGATCAAAAGAGAGACAATCTGAAAGTCATCAAAGTACCAAATGAGAACCAACAAAAGCCAAAAATTGACCAATAGATTCTGAACAAGATATCAAATTGAACAGGAGCAGGTAACCAGTTACCTCATGGTGGCCCTGAGCTGCAGAGTAATGAAGGGGCGAATTCCGAACGCCAAAGGTTGAATACCGGGCAAGCCGGGGATTGTATTCCAAGAGGGCTTTGGCCTCCTGCAGATCTCCATCTCTCGCCGCCGAGACCAGACGCTCCCCTGATGCGGAGCACCCGAAGGAATTCCCCATGATTCCAAGAAATCCCATAATCTCCTAGAACCGACGACAGATCCGACAGAACCAAAGGGTAAAAATCACTCCTTTTTCCCTTCCCCGCTACAACAAGAACGATCTAATAGAGCTATCCCGAGAGTAAATTATACCCAAGAAGAAGAATAACTCGATCCATCACTTTCAGAACAACCAACTCAAATTTGTCAAGAAGGAGATTACCACCCACAACAATCTCCACCAAAATTGAAGACCCAGTCAAAAAAATCCAAGGAAGCGGGGAAGGAACAAAAAGTATCCTTTACATTGCTAGAAAGATCCCTTCTTTTTGCCAAGAAACAACGGATCAAACACAAATCTCCCACCATTTGCAGAGATCACCGAGAGAACGTCTCCAAGTCGCCATTTTTTGCCGTCCGGGCCTGCTTCCAGACCGGATTCAGCCCAAAGACGACGCCTTTTCTATGTTTCGGACAATGGAATAGCAAACGGCGCTTGCAATAACAGGAAGGAATAGTTGTTATCGATTTTTATGGGTCTAAGGACAGAGAAAATGATAGAGTAACATTGGTAATATATAGAGGCAGCTAAAAACCAAGCAGAATAGAAGGAAAATAAAATGGAAGAAAATCATAGATAGATAGATAGATAGATAGATACAGAGTTTTACATGGGGGGGGGTGTTGAAACAAATATTCGTACAAAGAAAAGCATGTCTCCATGATTGGCATATGGACAACGCCCACACAGTAAAATGTCTGGAAATGGGGTCAGAACTTTGGTTGTTTTCTTCCTGTAAAAACTATAGGAAGTTTGACATAATCCTGTAAAATCTTGGATATAATTGTCTCCTTCAACATCATTTAATTGTTTTACCTTGGAGATGAATTTTATGCAGTTTCAAGATGATAATACTATGGTATGTTTGTCATCACATATACAAGCTCAAAAAGGAACCTGGGAATCTTCATGCATGGTTTCAAATACAGAATTCCTTCATGTTGGAAAGACACATGTGAGTTCTCTTAAAATACTCTGATTAGGGATGTTTTTTTGAGCTTTTTGATCCAAATTTGATTCCATTTGTCTCTTTGCTCGTATGCAACCCACCTCCTCTCAAAGATTAAACTTGGACATGCATCTTCTCTTATGGAGAGCCAAACTCTTGTCTGCCTTTTGTAAGTCATTTCTACATTCTTTCTGGAGTCCATGACTGCTCCTAAAACATCATTCAAGCTGTTGTTTAGCTTTTCCAGCTTTTATCCTGAAACATCAAGTTTAGAATATTCTTTCGTGACAGCTTTAGCCTATGCCAATAGAAATCTCCTCATTTTTATCATTATTTTCGGAAACAACAACTCATATAATCCATTTTTATCATTATTTTCAGAAACAACAGCTCATATAAACCATCGAAGTAGGAAATAACCAACCTTTCGTATGTCAGAAGTGAAGAACATGGAAGAGCATGAGCAGTGTCAGTCTTAGTAGTCTGCAGTGGTGGAACGCTATACCACTGCAAAGAGCAATTATGAGCGAAGGATGCATGCGCAGACTGTCGGCTTCTTTCACTCTGCGGCATATCCCAGTAGAAAAAGAATTTCTCTGCGTCGAAGCATGAGAAACAAAAGGAAGATTAATCACGGATGCATGTAGAAACAATAGCCTTGTACCAAGAACACGAAGAATTCATTGATGCTGTGCTGGATGTATATTGGCCTGTAAGTCAAACATTTCTTTTGTATTAGCCCTGCTGAGGTCAAAGATACCTGAGAGGTCAACGGATATCTTGTCATATGAGCCCAAACAAGGCCGATGACCCACAGCAGCTGAGTGGTCACAGGAAACGTGTTCCAACCACTGAGAGGGAGGAAGCTTCTTGACATTTGTGCTGTTAATGTTGACCAAAGTGGCAAAAGTTGGAATGTTGAGGATTGTTTAGAGAAACTTTGAAATTTCAGTTTGAATAGGTTTTTGTATCATTCCTAAGGCATTCAAAATCATAGAAAAATCAATGAGAAGCATCATTTCAGGGAAACTTCTTCCTGTGGAAAGCTTGTAGAATACACTAAATGAAACTTCTGACAAGCGTTCCTATATAGCCACGACCACAGAAGCAGCAGATACACCCAATTGCTCATCTTCTCGTATCTTCAAGCCGAAATCATCATGGCTGATGCATCCAACTTCATGACCAGCTTCCAAATCCTTGCAAAGGCCCTCAAGCTTCTGAAACTCAACTTGAAGCCACTGCTCCCCATCATGCTCCTCTCCACCATCCTTTCATCCGCCCTCCTCTTTGATGTTCGTACCCATCTTAGTCCTCTCATCTTGGATCCATTCGTCATGCCATTTCCAATGGCCACGAGTTTCGAGGACTACATAAACTTCGAGTTTGGTGCGACACATGACATCAAAGAACTACTCGCCATCACCATCTTCGTACTCGTCGAGCACACGCTGTACCTGCCCACGATCACCGTAACAATCTATGCTGTCTCCGCGGCCTACTCCACCGCCGCGGCGACACATCTGACGCTGTCCGGGGTTATGCGGTCGCTGAAGGCATGTTTCATCACAAGACTATGGGTAACCATGCTGGAGTTGGCTTTCAATCTTCTAATAGCATCTGTGAACATGATGTCGGTGGGGATTTGGATCTTCGGAATTGTACTAGCAGTAGCGTCTGTTTTACAGAACTACTTGCGCGTGGTGTGGGTTCTAGCACTGGTGGTTTCAGTGGTGGAGGATTATTCTGGTGTTGCAGCTCTGAGGAGGGCTCTGCAGCTTGTTCGTGGAAACTTTGCGCAGACATGGCGACTCTCAGTTTTCGCGTTTCAGACGGGTATACATTTCTTTGTAGCTCACAACTTAGCCTCCTCTCTCCTCTGCCGGAGACCGATCGTCGGAGTCGCTATGTCTGTGTTTTCGGCGGTGGGTGTTGCGTTCTGGGTCATGCTTGCGTTGGCAGCGGAAGTGGTGTTCTATGGCGAGTGCAAGAAGAAGAGACGTGGAGGGGAAGAGACTGCCGTGAAAGGAGGTCCAGGCAACGATGTGGATGAGGAGCCCAGCAACACTCATGAGCATCAACTTTGATCCGGTAGAGATTTTTTTGGTTTGTTTTGCGTGAAATTATACATGTATTATTTTGCGGGCAGGATTATGTCATATTAATTAATTAGCAAATCAGGTGAAATTTATAACATATACATGTATATGTATAGGGTAATTAAATCGATTAACTTTTAGCCATGAGATAAAGTTATGTGACCATAATAATACCCATATAGTAATTTCATAACAACAATTATATATTTTTTCTTTAAGATTTCCATCTAAAAATATTATTTTCATATCATTTGATGTAACTCTAAGTCAAGATGAAATATCTTGAATGAGTCCTTCTTAGAAATAGGGGAGTTATTATGATAACCAATGCATTATTTTTTGGAGTAGAATCTTTGGTTATAAGTCAGATTTTATATATCTTAATATTATCGAAGATATTATTTTGGTTTTATAGACTCATTTATAATTAATAATTATAGCCCATTTTGGTAATTTGATAAGATCACAAACTTATTTTTTAGCCATATAGACTCTAATTACTCTTTCATTGCATCATATCAGAATTCATAGGTATCTCAACTCATAGCTTTCAAAAGTAACCAAGAATCATCAGTAATACCAACATTAAAATTAGATATCTATAAGCATACAATGAAACCATTAGGAATGACTGACATTCTTTAACTTTGAAGATCTTCTCAATATCATAATATTCACTTTATTTTGTAAATCAAGAGCATTAGGCTCTGAATAAACTTGTTCTGCATGAAGTAGTTTCGCAACTTGATAACGTTGGCCAATAAGAATTAAACCAATATTATCATTTGATTCTTTATATTATCTTTATTTTCTTAAAATTTATTTGAGAAAAATCACTCTAAGTTCAAGATCCTCAAGAAATTTAACATTCCTCGCTTTATTAACTCCAGATGTACGAGAAGGATAATAAAATTTGAATCTTTTAAAGTTAATAGTATAATCAATGAAAAAACTATCGACTAATTTAGAGTCTAATTTGTTTATATGAGAGTTATAAATTCTCACTTCAATCAGACATCTCTTGACATAAATGACTTAAACTTAGTTTTCATCATTTCCACAACTCAAAAGGTCTGTATGCATCAATGTGTATAATCTTTAAAAATTTTAGAACGCAAAAATTAGTAAAATCTAAAGTTTATAAAACTTCATCGTTTACTAATCTCTTTATTCTTTCTGCGAATATATGACATAATCTCATATATCATAAACTAGAGGAATGCTCATTGATAATACCATGGTTAAGTCCAAAATTTTGATCATGCATAGTAAAATAGTTAGCCCAAATTTTGAATCTAAATCAAACTTAAATAAACCATCAACTAAAGATCCAATTCCAATAACATTTTTATTTTGTGAAAAGCTAAACATAGCCTTCAAAATGCAAAAAAAGAAAAAAAGGACTTGTAAGTCTTGAAACAAAAACCAAATTTCAGAATGATGGAACATAAATAGTATTTTTAAGATCCAAAATAAATCTAGTTTTTGAAATGAGTTTAAAGGTTTGTATGTCTTTCATGTTAGAGTGGATCCTATTACTAGAATAAATATTTTGTTCATTTTGTCATGACTTCACTAGATCTAGAAAGTCCCGTGTTCACAAAATGGATTGATGAACTAAAATCAATCCATTGGTGTATCAATGATGCATAACACATTAGAGATATGTAAATATTTTTTTTTAAGCTAACTTTTATACTTTTTACGATCATTCTTGATGTGTTCATTCTTCACTTAAAAGAAAGAATCTTATTATCTTGATATTGTATTAATATTTTTTTTTCTTAATGGACACCTTTTTCTCTTCCACTTGTAGCCCTTCTATTAAGTTGCTAGATGAGCATTATTTCTTTACTCATCGCCATGCTTCTCGTATATTAGTCTTTCATACTCTTATATATATACGATCAAAATTCATTAACCGTTTTCTTTATGTCTTATAGGAAATTTTAAGATCAAATTATGTGATAAAAAAGTTAATATAAAATAAACTAAAAATGATTTAGATATCTCAACCTTAAAATCTTTCATTTGTATTATGTGCTCACACACACTTTTAGAATTGTCAAACTTGAAAGTCTTTTTATTAAGATATTAGTAAATACTTTATCTAGAGTCATAAATTATTTTTCGATGACTTTTATTAATTTTTTGACCTTATTGTATTTCGAATGCTCTTGCTAACATAAAATCTAATGAACATCATACTTAAGCGAATGGATCGCTCCCACTTCTCATATGTTATTTTCTCAAGTGGCATATTTGATTTTGTGAGAATTAGTGAGTAAGAACATCATTAATAAGAGTAGTGCAAGACCAAGAAAAATAATCAACTTTATGCTATGAAATAGATAATTCATATCAATATAAATTCTAACCTTTCTGTGGGTATACTTCATTTATTTCAAACTTTAATTTTTTAATTAATAAAATCGATAATAAAAGCACCAAAATATTTTTTATTCCAAAGTCTAGAAAAATTAATATTCAAGTTATCATCTTATTCTAATTAACTCATAAACTATAATTATCGCCTTATCCTTTTTTAAGTCAATTA